AGTTTATTTCTAAACCATTCTTCGAACGGAGGCAGTCAACCCAATGCCTCGGCAAACCACGTTAATTGTGTGGTCGCCTAAGGGCAAACTGCAATTACAAATACTATTTTTTTGTTTAGGCTTAAATGAACGAATAATCTATCTATCTTAATTGCACACATTTATACATATTAATAACAAACTGTACATTACACTTAATTTTCTAATAAACTGTCATATCGTTGATCTGTAATTATCTCCAATGCAAAAACAATATTTTTCGATAAGTTTTCTCTATTATATTCGAACTTTCGAAAAAAATAACATACCGTCTTTGTTTCCCCGACATAGCAATTTAACGGATATCGGTGACGGTAATAATAATTCATAATTCATATTTTATATATATATATATATATATATATATATATATATATATACACATATATATATGAAATATGAATTATGAATTATTATTATCGTCATCGATAACCGTGACCTGCCACAACGATATTGCGATACGCAACAGGTGCGACTCATTTGTAAGACAACCACATTGTTCCTGTCGATTGCGAACGAATAGACGAAGGCCACGACGATGTTTCGCGATATCCGTTAAATTGCTATGTCGGGGAAACAAAGACGGTATATTATTTTTTTCGAAAGTTCGAATATAATAGAGAAAACTTAGCGAAAAATATTGCTTTTGCATTGGAAATAATTACAGATCAGCTCAATGAAGAGGTAAGTTACAAGAGCTTTTTTTGGGAAAAAATTGTCCTGACATCCTGTATATATACAGCTTTCCTCGAGATCTTTTCATAACACTATAATAAAGTATTTCTTCATTAAGTACTTTTCGAGTTATGAAGCTTGAAATAATCTCTTAATTTTACATAAACCATTTCTCATGAAATATCTAGTAAAATATTCATTTTTTTACTATCTTACCTTAATACTTGTATGTACAAAATAATGAGGAATCAGTTGGTGTAAAGAAAACATATAATTATTTCGAAGAAAAAATATGTAATTTGCAATTAACAATTACATATATATTTTTTTTTTCGACACAATTATGTGTTTTCTTTACAATTGATTCCTCTCATTATTTTGTACAGAAAAGTATTAAGCTCGGATAATCGAAAAAAGAATATTTTACTAGATGTTTTATGGTTTATGTAAAAATTAAGAAATTATTTCAAGCCTCTCATAATTGAAAAAGTATTCGATGAAAAAATACTTTATTATAGTATTTTGAAAAGGTAAGCTACAAGAGCTTTCTTTTGGAGAAGAGATTGCCCTGACATCCTGTATATATATATCCCAGGTGGGATATATATACAGGATGTCAGGGCAATCTCTCCCCGCAAACGAACATCGTATAACCAAATAGACGATACAACGAAATGAAATCGTTCTTATAATAGAAAGTTTACCCCGGTGGTAGCATATTAATTACGTAGCCGCGCTCGGACGCGTGCGTTATTCCTTATCGGTGCATCATTTTCGCCCGTACTCGTTACGGTAATCTTTTCCTCACGACTTCCCATTCTCTCTCTTTCTCTTTTCTTCTTTCAAGTAATGAATCTGAACAAGCAAGAACTTTTATGTTATAAACCTTTGCGCGTGCCGTTATTCGTCTCTGACAGCTGCTTGTTTCGAATAACCGTGTATAAAATCAATCTTGCCAGATGCAAAGCGATGCGTGTTTTATCATTGACCGATGATAAGTATTGTAATAATTAAATATTTTTGTTGAATTTGACTTAACAAGGACAATATTCATTATCAATGTTTATTAATTATATATAATTAATGTATGTAATATGTAATTAATTTATATATAATAAATATTTATATATAATTAATATTTATATATAATATTTATATATAATTCAACATTGATAAAAAGAAATATAGATGAATACCGACATATTTTGATAGAAACTTAATATAAATAGAAACATTAATTATATACAATTATCAAACTCAAATTGTAATTAATTAAAGTGGTTAGCTAATAAAATTATTAGCTAAATTTAAACAATAATTTTCAGATCAGAAAAGTTTTTATAATAAAACACGTATAAATTTTTTTTTATTAAATTCAAAAATTTATTGAAAGATTTTAAATAATAATTCTTATTTTTACTTTTAAATTTAAATAATAATTTTTTAAATATAATTTTAATATAATTCAAGTCTTACGAGCAAGCATTATGCAATTATACATTTTAATGAGCGTTAATTATTCCAATTAGCAATTTAGCGGGAATTGATTACTGGTTGATCCACAAAGAAGCACTTTCTCGCGCATCAAAGAAACGCTTTCTAATGATGAAAGATCTGCACTTTAATAATGTTCCATGTCATCGATTTGTCCTGCCGTGATCTCGTCACTAATGCATCTTAAAAATTTGCTTCGATGTCCGCAATCTCCCGGAGAATCGGACCATTTCGAAGCAATCATGTGACGAGCGTTTTCACAATCTCTGGATGCGTGAAATGATAAAATACTATATTGCTTCCTCAATAAATTATCGTTAAACGTGAAAATAATATCTCGACCTTAATTATCACTATATGATTGCTACTATAATTGCAAGTATCGTAACAATTTATTATAGATCAATCCAGAACTTTTACCAAAAATATTTTATATTATTGCCACGTGCGTAAAGTTAGTTAAATCATTTAATTTTTCTCAGTTAAATTTTAATGATTTTACTGACAAATAAGACCTTAACAAAAAAATAATAAATATAAAAAAAAATAAATATTAATATACATTTTCTTATCTTCCAAAAATAACAAATTTATAATTGTGTAAAATAAATAAGAATAATAGGTAATTATTTCAGTTACATCAACCTAGTTTTTAATATTTTTACTATTCTCTCATTTTTCCCACGTTTCACAACTTTTATCTATTATTGTTCAATTTCATTGTAGAATGCATTTACTTCGTAATAATCACAGTGCGCGTGTAACGTTTGATAAATTGGTAAAAATATATTTGACAGAGATTGAGGCGGTTGCATGTAATTATTTTGCGGCGAACTTTCGTCAGCAGCACCTTGCGAAATTTCGTACGTAGACGCATTTCGTAGTACGACCATTAGATATGCGTCTCCATGTATATGCTCAGAGCACTATTTTATATAATAAAACGCACAAAAAGAATGCGCATTTCACTTATAAAAATGTATTTAACACGTAAATCTTTTTTTAAAGAAATTCATTCGTACACTGAGAAAAATGTTTTGTAAACGACAAAACATATCTGATAGATCTATAATTTGTTTAATATTTAATGGTTTAATTTAATTTGGTTAAACCAAACAGAATTTCTAGTTATCGCGATAACATTCGATTTTTTTATAACCAGAACGTTTAATAGATATTACTATAAGGATTTAGTTAGTATTTTCTAGTTGGATCTAAAATTTCTTGTTATTTTTGTTAACTAAACATGGATACAGTGATGCCATTTTTTTATAAATTTAGTATTATTACCAAGAAAATTTGATAAATTTAACAGCAAAAAATTAGTCGCACTCTGATAATTTCTAAAGGAATTCTGACTCGTTCATTTTCCAACAGACATACTGATTAAATCTACCAGATTTCTAATTAATACAACTAAATTTTTTTCTCAGTATACCAAATTATTTTTCTACGTAAGAAATCTTATGTACATAAAATGATACATTTTTTGACATAAAATGCAGGAGCAATAATTGTTCTCAAAAAAACTTTCAATTATTATCTTACATACATATCATACATGTAACTATATTTAAGTAATGTAAGATTTTTTAAGATAATCTAAGATTTTTAAAATAATAATAAAATTTTTTTGACAATTTTTCTCTTTATTATTTCAAATTTGATATAAAAAAAAATTAACATTTTTACTAGTATGGTTTACAATGACAAAGATGAATAAGATTTTAATTATTTTATATATATGTATATATATATATATATATATATATATATATATTAAAAAATATTTCTAAACAAAATTTAGAGAATACATTTCTATATTATATGTTTCATAATAATTTATAATGTATTATTAATGCGAGACAAAAGAGCAATTAATATTACAAATAACAAATAATAAATAAATTTAAATAACTTACTCGTTAGTTGTCTGGAGTTTCTCTTTCCTGGGTTTCCTCCTTCTCTATTGTTCGTTTTTTTTGTCACACTCACTCGCAAAAACATGATTAATTATAACTGTATGCACTTGTTTTAATTAACAGAATACGATTATCGCGCGATATTTTGCACACCTAAACGCGATATACACGTCATTATGTTGTCACAAAAGCACAAGCGATCACATAAAACTATAATTTGTTTAATATTCAAGAGTCAGATAACCACACTTTATTCATTACGAGAAGCTATCTCTCTTTTTGCGTTTCTAATAAATAATATATTCAAATTTTAATATAAGCGAAATGGAGAAATGAAAACTAGACATAGAATTTAATATAAAGCAAATATTGCAAAATTTGTAAATATAATTAAACTTGTCGATCATTTTGCGCGATATATCACAGCAAAAGACATGTTTCCTTTGTTGTATATAATTTATAAATGTTAAATTTATATAAAATATGATTTTATTATTAATTAAACACGTCGCGATACAATTTAATCAGAGCTGATCTGTCTTGTATTTAACTATTACGAGTCGTCAATCTCGAGAATTGATTAACTTCACGATAATCGTTATTGTAAAATGATCGCCTTCCGAAATATAACACAGCAATATCACTGTGACTTTCCCGTACGAATGATAAAACGTAAATGATCCTGCGAATGTAAGTAGCGCGCTACGCGTGGTAACAATACAACGAAATGTATTGTTTTGAATTGTAATATGATACTGTGCTCGGCCTTGACCTAGCGCCGCGCGCCATTTGCTGACGTCACGTGACGTCACCACACGTCATGCTCCGTCTCATCATTCGTCGGCGTCACTCGGCAAGAGGTCACGGCGTGTCGCGCATCGTTTTATCCTGAGGTATTATATTTCGAAAAGCGATTCTTTTCATTACTGCTAAAGATTTTGTAGAGATCGACAATCGGCTATTCATTAAAGTAGATATTTCGTTAGTTTATAATCAAGTACGAATGGAACGAAGTAATATATGAGTCGCAGAATCGAAAGGTAATACGACGAACGTTTAGTAAAAATATTTCTCTCCGCGAAGGTTACGTTTGAAATATATCACGTATGCATTATCGAATTACGAATATGTACTTTAGCTTGTGTACTTTTATTTAATTATTGACTCATCTTGATACATCGTATGGTTAGATTAAAATAAAGTTGCTAGTATTATTTTCACTTTCACAGTTATTGACAGAATACGAAACGGATCTATTTCAAATTCATATTTTGATTTACGCGTTCATTCGTTTATATTAGAATATGTGACCGCATAGTTCTAATAAATATTATTTATTAGAAATAGGAGTGTAAATTTGGTTAGGTGTGTGATTTTTGAGTATGTCAAACATATCGTTGCAATTTTACGTGGTCGCAATTGTGCTTCGTAATCTTATCGTATTCGGGAGTGACGTATAAAGTGCCGCGCGATTCAAATTAACCTTGTTTTCGCGAGTGAGTGCCACAAACAAAAGACGAGGAAGAGAGGAGGAAGGGGCCCAGACAAGTATCGAAAGCAGATGACAGGAGCAACCCCGTGAAGTAAGTTACATTTATTATATATATATATATATATATATATATATATATATATTATTATTTATTATATATTTAAAATTAATTTCACTTTCATAGTAATGATATATTCTAAATTATTGTGTAATATAATGCATATTTATATGTGTGCAATTATTTGTATAAAAACAAAATTTTAGTTTATTATATGCTATATAAAATTTTATTTTATTTTATATACAATTGAAAGAATTTTTCTCGAAAAATTATAAAATATGTAATCTTTTATAAAACATATTTCAAAAATGTCAATTCAATAATTATGTTTTAAAATATTAATTATTTTAGACATTGTTTTATATAATTTTCATATATTTGTTTTACAGATGCAGTATACAGTTACAACTCGACTGTTACACATCGTACCGTGAGTTTTTCCTTTGTTGTATATAATTTATAAACGTTAAATTTAATTTTTATAAAATATGATTTTATTATTAATTAAACACGTCGCGATACAATTTAATCAGAGCTGATCTGTCTTGTATTTAACTATTACGAGTCGTCAATCTCGAGAATTGATTAACTTCACGATAAACTATTTTATATATATATTTTTTATACATATTTTCTCTCTAGAAAATTTCAATAAGATAAAATAATTTTTATATTTATTCGCAATAATATAAATTGATAGAAAGTTCTCATATGGTATCAGAGAGACCGGTTTCATGAAAATTGTACTGATTTGATCTTCTAGCAATTAAAATGTTATAAAAATGTAGTAATTTTGTAGGTGCATTGACAATTGCTATGTTTTAAATTGTATTCTGAGACTTAATTATATAGAATTTAACTTTTCACCTAAGAGAGAAAGTAAGAATTGTTCTTTTTCGCTTGTGTATTGCATTTGTTATAATTTGAAAGTAAAATAAGAAAATCACTCTTTTTACTTTTTATAAATTACTATACATTGCTTTACATTATTACTTTATTTTATCACATACGATTACTCGTATAGAAGAAATAAATTAAATTCAATATTGCTTCATGATCGCTTCATGATCGCTTCATCAAGTATTCATAATTACTTATAAATGAGAATTTTGCCAAGATTTAATGATATTTACTACGGAAATGCCGTAACGTAAAGAAAGAGTAATACGGTACAGTATAAGAATTTTACAATTTACAGACGTAACTGCAATCGCGATGACGGATGAGTTGGTTCATTAAACGCGTCTCCCGATATCGCGCGCACACCCGACATAATATATAGCTCGAGTTCTCGTGCTGCTAATTATACCGTTGTCAATCAATCGGTAGTAAGGTGCGATCATGATTAAGAGATCATACGATGCGCAAGCGATTTCGTCTAGTAGATAGTATAGATGTTACAAAAGATCATTCGTTATAGAATATTAATAGGAACGGTAAATTATTGCTTTAAAAGGAAAAAAATCATCTTGATTGATTGTTTAATGGATTCAATATTGATATCAGTTCTTAAAATAAAAATTTTTTGTAGATTAAAAATAAATAGCATCTTGGAACACGTAAAATACCATATGAGAACAATATTCAGCAGAATTTTTGATATGATATGATTTGAGATAATTTATAATAAATAATACATGAAATAGTAGAGAACTTTCTCTTTTCAACAGAATAAGTTTATATCCTACAATGATTTAAAAAATGTTGCAGTTGCATTTAGGAAATAATATTTAACAATTATATAATTATATATTTCGATTTTTATTTGAAAAAAATATAAAAAGCTCTTACAAATTTTAATTTTGTGTAATATAGAACTCTCTATGATTCATATCGAATATCATCTTTCCTCTTTAAATAAAAACATAAAAATACTGCAATTAAAACTAATTATTCGCTCACAAATTCTATGAAATGATTTATTTTTATTAATGTATAAACACGAAATAATAAAATCATATATGTTCAGATTATATATGATATTTTTATGAGACTACATGTATAGCAGTGAATAATAATTAATTATCTCTGATTCGTCGATTGATTATTGTGTGTAGAATACTGGCCGCTGTTATATACATTTTTTTATTTATTGATATAATTAATTGACACAATTTATTGATATAATTGTCATATTAAATCGTTATTTTATTATCGTTTATATTATTTTATAACTATTGATCAGATATATACGCGATTGATAATAAATTAAATTAATAAATTGCTACGTAGCTTAGCACTTGACAATCACCTTTGGCAATATTTTATCCTTTTATATAGACGTTTATTTGGATATTAAAGCGCGAATATTACGATTAGAAGGAATTATAAAGAGGGCAATGTGTCTTAGTATTGTGCGGAATCCAACGTGACAGTGGAAAGAAATTGGTCCAACACTTTCGCGTTCATTTCACGCTTACTGGACCATATCGATCTCCTTTAACATGCTGTCTCTCACCGCTCTCGATAGTGTCGATCAGCATCTTTTCAACGATCGAAGCGAAAAATTCGTTTCTAATTGCGTCAAAGCATTGTTGAGCATCGGTAATAATCTCGCGTTGGTGTTAGAAGAATGTGGCAATAATGTCGATGTTACGAAGGATTTACAATTACACGAATTGTAATTATATATTGCTGCAATTTAACAAAGCACAATTATATTTTTTACCACGAATCCACAATCTAAAACAAAGGAATCTAAAACAAAAGAGTATTTTAAAGCTAAATCGCATATATCGCATATACAAACTTGTAATCATAAGCGTGAAAAGAAAGATCGATTGTCAGAATCACATATCTAATGCGTTAGCTTCAACAGTTTCAACGGCTTTTTTAATTTTTCTATTAAATTGTAGACACGAGAAAAAAATCTCCGCTTATTACTATTGCAATAATAAAGCTAGCGAAGGTAAACGCGTGGATGAAATTTCGATAGCGACACAATTGAGTTGTGTAAAAAATTGAAAATAGTTGCTTCAATCGAATTTGTTTAATCAGCCGTTCGAAAGAGAAGTGAAACTCAGCTCCAACCGAGCTCTTCTCTCTATCTTATCCGGATAATTGATGTAATTATCGTACAAGCCATTGGCACATATCTACCGGGTAGGAAACCTCTCAGTCGACTTTGGAGGAAATACAAATGTACATTTACACACATACAGAGTATTATCTTTCGTGTTTCAATAATAATTATTCACGTGTTTTTGCAACAACCGGTCTCTCGAACCTGTCGATTTTGTGACTATTAGCCAAAATTTCGCGGATGTACAGAGCTATAATTTATTTTACATTGCGAAATTCAAAATTGAGCATTTCATTGAATCATAGTTTTTACAGTATATGAAATTAATTTTTTGGTAATATGTTGTTACTGAATAATTATCTTGCTTAACTTGCAACTTCCTATCGAGTAACTGGTTAACGCGAAACTTCCGGTTAAATGAAATATCTGAATCCAACAGAGATTATGCAAAATCTTTTCGTTGTTTCTCCACATAAATTGCGAGATAGTATATGCGATATTATCATTATCTTAAATAATAAAATACATTTATGAAGTGCTTGTTTTTTTTCACATTATAAGGTATTCCAAATAAAATATTCGTGTGATTTCTATATGTTTTAAATCTTACTTTAAATACCTAATTAAATTTTTCAGTAAAGATTTTATTTGTATCTTATTTGTATATCAAAAAAATATTTCGGTAATAAAATAAACACTTTCTGGATGATACGGTGGAAATACAGCATTAAAAAATATTCATTATATACCATGAGATTAAATCGCAGGGATAATATAAAATAGAAAGTGCGAGACCCTCCCCCTCCAATCTTGCCTAACTCTCGTAGTTTTATAATAACAGATTCTCGTGGCTTGCTAGAATCATCTGAATTATAAGCACAAATTATTTTATTGAAAATATCCGTGGATAATAATCGTTTAATTTTATGATTTGAAGTACTGTGTCAATAAATCGAAAAGATAAAAGATTTCGAGTTGTTTCTTTGCCCACGAAGAAATTATTTTTTGATTATTTTCATCCAGCGATTTGATTCTTTCTCTCTCTTTCTTTCTCGCACGTTAATTGATTTCTAGTAATGTATGAGAGGATTGATTCTTATCTTAGAGCCATTTCGTTTCCGCGATTGCGATAGGCAAATTGAAATTCTCGCTGTACGATTCGCGTTGCGCGATTCCCATCTGGCTTCGTTCTTTAAGTACCACTCCATCATGCACTCCCCTTTTTAGAGTTTAATGATTCTTTGCGGTAAAATCCGTTATCTAATCCCGATGTCATAATGTCGCCGTTTCGTTTACAATTTTGTATCAGATTCATCATTATAATAATGACACCTCATACATCATTTAAATATCGCCCGAAATAATATTCGTATTTTTTCAGACATTTATCGATAAATTAAAATATAATCAGATTTATTATGACGTTAAATTTTTAGCAAAATATATTCATATTGAATGGATGTTTGACTAATTTTAAAGAACTAGATAAAATTAACTAGGAGAAGGAAGAGAGACATATCTTTTTGTCGCACTATATAAGTTTTCTATAGTATAAAGATCTTATGCGAGATTGCATCCGAGTTTCTCATTTTTTGCAACAACATAATTATTCAGTATAGAAAGTTACATGTGGCAAAAATCTAATGATATTTAAAATATTTTTCGATGAACGCGATATCTCGCGTAATGCATGGCAAAGATTGTCTTATGCAACTAGTGCGAGTTCATTGCTTGAATTGCTTTGCTTGTATAAAATGAAACGTTTATGTCAAATCCAGTAAAAAAGGTAGCTGTCGTTTGAGCAAATCACAAATAATTAATAATTATATGTGTATATATATATATATATATATATATATATATATTTCCTGTGCAAAATTATCATCTTGATACATAAATATACTTGGTTGTAAATGCTTAAATTATATATAGTGATAAAAAAATGTAAGGAAAAGAAGATTAATTCTTTTTATTGTTTAATAAAAAAGTTGAATTTCATGAATTGGCTAATGTATTTATATGTGTGTTTCAAAATGTAATTAATCTTCATCAGATTTTGTACCTTTTATTATTATTACGTAAAATGAATTTTATTGCAATTTTATCATTAATTGTTATGTAAATAAGTTTTGATTATTTTTTTCATTCTTAAATTATATATTATGTAAAGTTGTTTTTTTTTAAATTCTTTATAAAAAAAAGAAAAAGTATGGTTTCATATAAAGCAAAATTTATAAACGCTTAGTAGTCTTCAATTAGATAAATTGCTCTGCATTTACAATCATGTTACTATTCAATTATCCATTTAAGATACTCCGCTCCAAACTGGTAATTTTTGAAAAATGTATGACACATGCAAGCATCGTCAACTGTCTAGAACGCGATTTCGTAGCAATCGAAAGGAAGAT